GACTTTGGCAGAAACCGGAAATATAATCCTAATCAGTAAACAAGGGTTAAATACCTACTCCTGTTCAAAAACCGGGGAAGAGATTGAACTGGGCGAGACGTGAAGATATCTACTCTTATTGAGGGAAAAACGTATCTAAATAGTAAATAATTTAGGCGGAAATTTTAGAAGTAGAGATTCGAAGTAGACTTTAAAAAAACTGGAAACCTAATCCTAAACAGGAACAAAGGGATAAAACTCCACTCCTGTGTAAAAGAACGGGGAGGAGTGTGAACCGGACGATAGATGAACCTATTTGAGACAGTTTTTAAAGACATGGTTGGGATAGGTTTTAAAGACACGGTAAACAAAAATAAAAACATTTTTAAACAAAAATAAAAACATTTTTAAACAAAAATGCTCCAAATGCATTGCATCTAAAAAAAAGTGTGCTTAAAATGTTTTGAATAAAACTAAAATAATGAAACAAAAATCATTAGTCACGGTTAAAATTGTTTATTTTATAACGTAATTTTCTTGTGCTCTTTCTATAAATAGTTTCACGGTAATTGCTATGAGGAACTTTCCTCTATGTTCGCTACGCATTATGAATTTAAGCTTAGTACTAAATTGGCAGCAAGATCTCATCATTTTACTGTTGAAATGCTAACAGTGTCTTCTGTCGCACTTCTCGCATGTGGAACACTTTTTCAGCGTCTTGTTTTCCAGTGAAATTTGATCTTTATAAGTTTAAATGCAATTCCAATCGTTACCCTCTGTCTACTTAATACTTGTTCGTTCATTATCCTTTCTCCTTAATAGTATATCTTCGTATGTTTTCTAACAACCAGTAAATCCATGCGTCTTAGTAGACTTATTTGCCTTCCTTTGGATGTAATGATAACAAAAAACACAAAACTCTATCTGTTTATAATAAGTTCATTAATATACATGATCTACAAAATATCTGTATCATAACATTCGTTTCAAAAGACATCATTCGGTTAAGTCCCGTAGACGACACAGATTTGTAAAAGGCCACTACTCTGAAGCAACAAAAAAAAACGTCATTACTAGGGTTTGTTAGAATTTTTGGATACATTATGTACTAGTGAGTTAGCCCAAATGACTTGATCACTTTATAGTCCACCAACAGAAGGTTAACCAATCAGAAGACGTAGAACATTCAATCCGTCGTGTATAAAGGCGGCCATTTTGTCTACTCTACCCGAATGTCCAGTTCCAGTTTGTCAGGCGAAGAGAAACAGAAAGACGAACTATGCTCTGCTACTTTTAGCAAAATATCCACTGCTAACCTGAACAACGCTTTCCTACTGTCTTCGAAATATTCACTGCTAACCTCTGGATTCTATACTCGAAGACGACCGTCATCATGAACAACAGGGTTACCGTAACAAGTAGATTTTTTTTCATTTGATGAAATTGATAGTCCCATGCTCAACCGGTTTTGTATTCAGAGTTTTCCTTCTCATAGGCTGGTTGCTAACTATAATGAATCAGTACAGCCTCTTTTGTTATTTAAACAGCACAAAGGCAGAGAAGAGATAGACTCATGCCTTTCGAAACGATATGTGCTTCTAAGTGAACGCAACATACCGCTAAGTAAATTTTGCATTTTAATAGCTTTATTGCCTAACTTGAGTTGAAGTGTTGAAGTTAATATTCCCATGTCCGAACAGTTTGGAATTCGGAGGTGTCTTTCTCCTAGGCTCTTTGTTAATCAAGGGTTAATCACCCCAGACTGTTCTGATATTTAATCCCCACTTAGAGAGTAAAGACATTATTAATTACAAAACCCACGCATATCCTAAACCTGGTGACATGGAAAAAAATGTCAAATTTGTTTTTTTTTTATGCGTGAAACAAGGATAATTATACCATAAACAAAACCAAGAATACAGCGTAATCCTTAGAAATGCGCATATCAAAAATAGTAAAGATTGCGAGTACATATGCTGGCTCTGACCATCTATTCCCGAAGTGGCCAAACTGCGCCTCGCGGGTAACATATGGGTCTTTAACATTTAATATGCTTGAACTGAGCTACTATTTTCATCGTAGGTAATATAAAATGTAAATAAGTAAAATGTCAAGTTTTATAATTATTTACTGGCTATAAATTTAGACCCTATTATATTAGAACGTAAGTTTAATGTTCATGTTTAGTAAAAATATTTAAGTATTTAAATCCTAATTTTAATTCGAGATCTGAGAAATATGTAGCGGTAAAAGCGTGTGCAAATCTAAGAAAGAAATAATCTTCAAACACAGCTCTACAATTTGAAATAATTTTTATTATTCAGCATTTATTCTGTTGAAAGAAACGAATTACAAAAATTCTCACACAACGAAGTCCCAGAGAAATATTTTGGCTTTACAATAAAAATAAATAACTGCGTTAGCATCAGAGAAAAAAAACAGAATGTGCCTATTTGACGAAAGAATCAAGTATTTACATTGTTTTATTAATGCGTGTAATTTTCCAGCAGTCATCAACTGAGAACTGTGTTATTACGACTAGTAAAATTTTGTAGACATAACTTCGTTCGTACGATTATACGTGTTGCTTAATTTACTTAAAAATCGTGACGTTATTGTAAAAAGTTACTCGATATAAAATGATATGGTCAGTAATTAATTATAGGAAAAATATAAGTTTGCCCAAAGCGACAACTTTGCTCAATAGATTACCGAAAAACTGTATGCCGAAAGCTTTCTGAATTCACACAACGATATTTATAAACTCGGGGAAGCTAAAAGTCAGAATTACTAAAGTCGGAACTTTATTGGTTAATAAGTTAAATTTTAATTATCTATTTTTCAGAGCGAAAAATATTGATAATTAATTTCTTGGAGTGATCTTTCAAATTTCATATAATGCAGCTTGTGATCATCTGATAATTAGAGCCGTTTTCAAAGCTGTAAGAGTGTTTGAAATAAGGTCGCTGATTGGTTTATAAATGCGAACGTGGAAATTAAAATTGGAGCCTACTTTTTGCACAAAAATGAGTCAATTTCTGTTTGCGCCGATGTTGTCACAGAATTGAGAATTTAGTAATATTACTTAAAACTACTTAATTTTTCTATATTTTTCTAGTGGGGTTCCATAAATACACAGATATTTTGAGCGACTATTTTGCTGAAATCTAAATATATGGTACGCAACTTTATGCCTTCAACTATAGATATTTTGAATTACGCATATCCTTTGGGTTGGCTGATTTTTAGTGTCAAACTCTATGGGTTATTTAATATCGAAATCGAAATTTTTGGTATGTAATTTTTTGGTTTCAGCTACAGATATTTTGTACATAATTTTATAATTCCAGGGCAAAGGTAAGTTTTTAGATATATAGTTTCTAGATGATAAAATGTACTGTTGGTAATTTAATAATATATTGCTGGTAATTTTATTATAAAATATATTTTGATAATTTTTCAGCGTTGTATTGGTTGTTATTTTTCCTAAACATTGTCGGTCATTTTACTAGCAAAATGCATTCTTGTTTATTTTATTATAAAATGTATTGTTGGTAATTCTACTATGAAATTTACGGCAGGTCATTCTGGAAGGAAGGCTAGGTTATAATGGCCGTTATACACTATGATGATGCATTGGAGGTAACTGAGTATGAAAAAATATTAGAGATAGGTTGGTTGGGCTATTAAAACAGATTTTATGTTAATTGCTTTAACCTCTATTGAAATATTGGTAATAAGAATCGTAGCTGCTGGAGATACTTCTGTGTTTCTGGAGAAAAAAATATTTAGGATTCCAGATTCCAGCGGGCCGGATTAATCTGCTAAGTCACTAGCGAGGACAAATAAACAAATGGGAAATGGCGGCTCCTGTATTTTTCCTAACATGATGACTTCAAGCCAGACATATTTTCTATATGTGGTGAGGATGTCTTCCCAGAGGAAAACGGCACCAGATTCTTCTAAGCTGCACCTCGTGGAAGCTGGCAGAAGTGCGGCCGATTTAGCCTCCATCCGGCCTGGGCCACTGCTGAAAAAAACAAAAAAAACAACTGCCCGGTTTGACACTTGAAAGTAAGACTGATTGACTGCCACTTTCATCACTATGCAATGACGTCAGTAAGCACTCAACGTGACCCACATGACTTCATCTCCTCCAAAGGGACATAATCGCCTTTTTGTGAAGGCGGTTAATGTTACGCGCAAATCTGAAGCGGTAAAAATGCAATTCCAATCGTTACCCTCTGTCTACTTAATACTTGTTCGTTCATTATCCTTTCTCCTTAATAGTATATCTTCGTATGTTACGCGCAAATCTCAAGCGGTAAAAAAAAGTAATGTAATACCCATTCTGATTAATAAGTAATTATCACGTTTTATCGCGTGAGGATTGTATCATATTTATGGTTACATAAATCTTTATTCGCGAACTGCAGTGAACTTTAAGTACGTTTTCTTTCCATATATATTTTGCACAAGTAGACGTCAAATGCCTACATCTGTTTAGCTGACGGTGTGTATCATATCAAAAGATTTCAAAAAATTTGAATAACTACAATATAATAGGAAACGGATTAATCATATTAATAAATGTAAATGAATATACAATAAATGGAAGCGAATCCATATAATGCATTCTCTGGGCATCAATATTGATCACTAAATACTTAAAACAAAACAAATACATCATAAGCAAAGGTAGAAAACATAACTGTAATTAAAACACCAATAAACAACCATTAATCCATTAGCGTCTCAGTGTCGTTGTATCCGTTTTTGAAGGATCAATAAAAAAGCAAATATAATGAAATGATCATAGAATATAAGCTCGTGTGTATAAGAAACAAAATAACAATACGACAATAACGATTCGTTTGTCTCATGTTTTGATCGATGATTCAGCAATTAACAGGGATTTATTTTATTCTTACTTTTTACTTTGTAATAAAGTTGTAAGCGTTGTTTTCCACAGCATTAGGTCTGCATGAAACTTTAATATACAGAAAGTTTAATTTCATATCATGCCATATCATATATCATATACCTATCAACGATCTCATTATCTATGCATCACTGTTTCCTTATCTATCTATCTATCTATCTATCTATCTATCTATCTATCTATCTATCATTTCATCATTTATCTACCTATATATCAACCATTTCATTATCTATATATCAATAATCGATTTCATTATATCTCTATCAATCAAACACTTCATTATCTATCTATCTATCTATCTATCTATCTATCTATCTATCTATCATACAGCCATTTCATTATCTATCTACCTATATATCTAGCGGCCAGTTTATTATCTATCTATCTATATATCTATGTATATATCTATCTATCATGCAGCCATTTTATTATCTATCTACCTATCTATCTAGCGGCCAGTTTATTATCTATCTATCTATCTATCTATCTATCATGCATCCATTTCATTATCTATCTACCTATCTATCTAGCGGCCAGTTTATTATCTATCTATCTATCTATCTATCTATCTATCTATCTATCATGCAGCCATTTCATTATCTATCTGACTATCTAGCGCCCATTTGATTACCTATATATCTATATATCTCTCTGGGTTGTATGTTATCTATCTATCTATCTATCTATCTATCTATCTATCTGTCTGGGTTGTAGTCTGTGCTTATCTATCTATCTATCTATCGATCGATCTATCTATATATCACGCAGCCATTTCTTTATCTATCTGCCTATCCATCTAACAGTCATTTTATTATCTATCTATCTATCTATCTATCTATCTATCTATCAATCACGCAGCCATTTCATTATCTGCCTAATTATTATCTATATATTATCTCCCTGGGTAGTATGTAGTCTGTGCTTTATCTATCTATCTATCTATCTATCTATCTATCTATCTATCTATCTATCTATCACGCAGCCATTCATTATATATCTGCTTATCTATCTAGCGGCAATTTTATTATCTATCTATCTATCTATCTATATCTATCTATCTATCTATCTATCTATCTATCTCGTTAAGCTTCATTAAAGCTGAAATCTTTGTATCCTAGTACCGATGTATTCTTTTTGTAATTTTCGATTAAATTGACTAACTTCAGTTGCAAATTGTTTTCAGGCGTAAGCCATCGGGATATTAACACTCACCGGAATATGTGAATTTTCATTGTTGGCAGACGTGAGGCTCGAACTCTTGCCACATGACATCAAAACATTGTGATCGATTTATAAACTTATATTTTACCTTATTTCAAACCATTATTATTATTATTATTATTATTATTATTATTATTAATATTATTATTCCCTTTGAATTCTGTTACATACACATTTCCGTACTGATCCCAATCAGAGATATAAGGACAGAAATGGCTTCATAACATTTACAACAGATCATTTTTGTGTAAAAGAAACAAAACAAAGATCACACACACCCTTTACATAGATAAGGCTCTCCGTAATGTGTGAGCTGAACTCGGCAATATAATGTTTTGTATTTCTTAAAGGCATGGGCTACCACGAATCGTTTCAATGAGTCTATCGGAACCTTTTCCAATCAATCCGAGTGCTCCATCTACAACTGGAATTATTAATGTCCTCATGTGTCACATTTTTCAGATTTCCACTTCAAGATCCTTGCATCTTGATAGTTTTTTTTTTTAAAGAAATACAAAAATGTTGTACTGAGAAGAACAGCTCGCACCTTACGAACGGCTTTGTCTATGTAGAATGTGTGAGACCTTAGGTTTTTTTTCAAAAATGCTCAGTGGAAAATGTCATTATGCTTTTTCTGACGTTAGATCTCTGGTTGAAACCCGGAAGGAAATGGTTATACATCATAAATGAAAGAAAATGATAAAATAAGCATTACATGACACGAACGAAACACCAAAAGCGACTAAAACGGTGGCTACATGAACGTGCTAAATCAAGAGAATGTGGTGGGTGTGCAGACGTTCCTGGCTGTGTTTTTTAATTGCATTTTTTCTCTTGTTAGCAACGTGGTGGCAAGCATTGTCATATTGAATAATCACACTGAATTTCCAGTCTGGACTTTTCAACAGAATTGTCTCATTTAGATTGGTCATTGTTAAAAAATACAGTTTACCATTGACGGTTTGGTAGATCTGGACTTTACCCATTGAGTGATAATGACGATCGACTGTAATATGAGAGCTTGTCATCTTCTGAACCAATTCCCTGGTGGTATGGCACGGTTCTTCTTTAATCATCGCGTGTAGTTCGTTCTCATCAACCTGACCAGGCCGGCCAGAACGCCGGAGAGTCTGTGAGATTGATCTTCTCATTGAAACGAGGAAAATTATTTCTAAGCCATTGTATCGGTAATGAATTCCTTTCCGTACAGAGCACTAATGTTTCGGTTTGGCAGCTTTGTGACCTGGATTAAAATCAAAGAGAAGATGCCGAATATGGTTATTCCTGCCTACTTGGTATTCCATCTCAAAAAGGATGTCTAATCTAATCTAACAACACCAAAAAAATTCTCTCCCAAGTGTTGTAACAATATATAAAGATAAAATTTCCAAAATTGAAACTATGATCTGGAACTGGAATAAAAGCAGTGATGGCACTTACCGTTAATCTATCAAGAACTTTATTTTGTGCAGTACGAGTTGCTCCAAATTCAGGCAGCGGAAAGACCTTGATTAAAAACAAAGAGAATATATCGAACGTGCTCATTCTTGTCTACTTGGTATAAAGTCTCAAATAATCTATAATCCTGATTCTTTTCATTAATTATTTCACCACAAGCGAAGCACCAAAATTACTAAGACTCAGGGGGCTACTGAGTGTTAGTGAATATAAGGAAAAAAAAAAGAATCAAGAATACAGAAGATGACGATTAAAATTTTATTTACATTTTTGAAGATCAAATTTGACTGTGAACCTAGAAGTTGCAAGAGAGTTCTGAAAGCAAGAAGATCAATAGAAGAAACTATTAGCATGGAACGGTTACATCAAGCCATTTCAGTTGTAAAATGATAGGATCTTGTTGCCAATTTTTCTACTGAGCTTAAATCCATTAACCAGTTATTTATCCGAAGCGTGTCTTCTACCAGTTCAGTCACGGGACCAGTAAAAAAAAAAAAAAAAAGTAATGCAGGTTTGATCACTGTTGGAGGCAGATTTAGTAAGACTTCTCAATTTAGGTTGGTAGCTATTAATTTCACTGTTTAACAATATAAAAAAAAATGGGGCCAACATTTCCCCCTAAGGAAAGCGATAGAAGCGATTAGCATACAAAAGGTTACAGAGTGTGAAAGAAAAACAAGAATATAAAAAAATAGATTCAAAGAGACAGAAGATGCCGACAGACATTGCATTTACATTTATTGAGATACTAACAGAAAACCAGAAAACTAGAAAAGAGTTCCACAAGAAAGAAGTGCGAGAGAAGAAACTGTTATCATAGAACTAAACGGTTGCATCAAACAATTCCAATTTTAAAAGGATGAGACCTTGCCGCAAAACTAGTACGACGCTTGCATTCTTAAAGTGTAGATACCATAGAGGAAAGTCTTATCTATGTTTAAAATATAGAAAAAAATGTTGCACAAGGCTAAAATGTGGGAATGGGAAAAAGGACGGTCTTCATCTGTCTTAATTTTAAACTTAACCGCAAACACTGACCGAAACATACCGCAATATTTACAATTTACAAGAAAACAACACATTCTTACCTTTCTTACTACATTCACCATAATACCTCATTGTCTCTATGAAAATCCTAACTAGTCTCCATATGTGGCATATTAAATGTGATAGGAACGTCAGTTAACAAGACGAAATCCATGCGGGATTCTAATAATATAAAACATTAATTCATTCCAAGTACTTACTCAAGCACACTCTCATTAAGACAGCAACAGATACAAAAATTACACCCGAAACGAAAGGCACCCCGTATCCACCAGAGAACTGAAGTCTCTGCTCACCTAAACGATATGGGTAAGAGGAATTAAACTAAAGAAAATAGGGACAGAAACAAAAGTGGCCAATGAGCATACATTCCCGAGCTAAGTTAACTTGAACGAAGAAACTAAAGATAAAACGGAACCTTAAACTGACCTAAATCTCGGTAGGGTTAGCTAATGTTTAAAGCAGAGCGAACAATATCCCGAAGCATGACCAGCATCAAAGTACCACTCCAAGTCAGCCCCTTTTGCTCTATACAAACGCGTATGACTTATCCACCTTTTGTCAAATTCTGATGGAGGGAGCAACCACTTTCCGTCCTAATCTTGACTTTAAGCTGTTGCTTAAATTACAAGATCAGTTGGGAATAAGTGAGCTTCTCGCCTCCAAACTAGTCCTGATCAAGTGGTTGATCATAACCCCTAGCACGTAAAAGAATACATAGTGTTCACCCTTCGTCAACAGCTGTACCACATTACTCCAGACAGAACTGACCTTAAAGACAAAGACCTTTCCGTGAAGCATGTGAACCATGATGCATTCAACAAACTTGCACAACGGCACTACGATCCTGAAATAAAAGAAGGCGTCTCCCAGTGTTTCAACCCCCGATCACAGCAAATGCAGTTTGGGGATTTCTTCAAACCCGCCGAAAAAAGTTTTTTGCCGACCCACAGGACCCTATGAATCACCAGCCAAGTGAGTGATGGCTCTTCGTTATTGAAGGATTTCAATCCGGGCGCCCAAGCCCATATTGAGCTATCCTATGCTTCGTAAGACCGTTCTCTTCAATCAGATCATCTCGTACGGATCCCCCTAACTAACACATAATATAATGCCCTTCTAGACAACGCCTGGACGTTGGAGAGACCATCCGACAACTATAAGACGTGTTTCACAGCAATACAACATTCGCGATAGAAGAACACTCGGCTCGGGATAAACGGCGGGCTTCCTTCGCGCACGAGTGAACACTTCTCAGGGATGGGAAGTTCTCACGGGCGTCTTTCACCCATAAGGCACCCTCCTTATCCGAAACGCTATACATTCGATTTGGAATGCGAAGCATATGTTGATGAATCTCAACGTTATGCATACCCAGACCGCCTTAAGAAGGGGGAGGTAACAAATCTCCCGTATACCTTAGCGGCCTTGCTTTCCCACAAGAAGAACAAGACCTTACCAATGTCATTAGTGTGGTAGTAGTAGTATAGCTGGCAACTCGTATTCGAGGATATCTATCTACTAGGTCGGCTAGACCTAGTAGACAGGTATCCATATTGCAGGCGCTTGCTCAGGAGAATTTGTGTTTATTCAACGCCCATAGATTCCACCTGCAACTATGCTGAGTAGACCTTAGTTACAGTTTCTGGGAAAGAGCGTGTTATCTAGCGTGATCAACAATTTGAACAAAGCCAGTACGCTCAATCCCTCGGCCACGATGACGTGTGACTTTTGTGTTAGCACAGCTATCGACGGCCCCGAAGGGTTCCGTCTGCCGAATTTCACTCACAAGGCTTGGGTCAACCTGCAGTATGGCTTTCAGGTGTTTTTCAAAGGTGCCACACGCTAGGATCGACCGATAACATCAGGAAGTCGCCATACTGACAAATC